GGGAGAACAAGGTATTATGAAAAAGAAGACACTTGGGACAAAACGAGAGTAAAGACAGAATGGGTGCAGGAATGGGTTAGCATTCATCACATGTTTGTGTTTTGGTTAGATGCTTGAATTTTGATCAGTGATTAACACAAGTTCAAGAGTGTTTTAGGTTTTGTACTACGGAAGAAAATACGTCAGTAAACATGTCTGAACATCACATCAGCATTAGCCACCTTTAGCTTAGCGTTGGTGATTTTTTTTCTTTAGCCTAACGTTAGCTTTTTACTTCTGGTGATTACACTTACACTTCAACTATTATAAAAGCGTGGGTTATATGTGTAGATTATCCTGCCCAACAAAACGTGTAAATATAAACGTGTGTTTACCAAAAATCTTATTTCTGCATTATTCCATAATTCACAAGAACAATCCTATTCTCTTTTTGGTCAAAGGAGCCCTGTAATGCTAACTTCTAAACACTGCACCACTCTACGACACAAACTGTAAAACAAAGAAAAGAAAGTAAGGAGAGGAGAGTTAGTTTTACCGTCCCTCTGTTTGTTTTGCTGATCATCAATATTGATGAGGTAAAGGATTAATAATTGATAAGGGTCTCCAGCCATAAAACCAAATCCAATCTCTCTCCTTCACACATACATACACACACTGCTCAACTGGGAAGCGACAGCAGGGACGGAGAGGAAATATGGATGCAGCGTTTGCAAAATAAAAGAATCTAATTACCAAGCCGGAGATGCCGTTTACGTGTTTTATTTTCATATCATTTATTGAAATGTGAACTAAAATCGGATCATCTGTGCCTCGGAAAAGTCAAAAATCAATCTGCAGAAAAAAAAACAACAACTCTCTTTTAAATGTTTTCTTATGCAAATGAGTGATGTATGAGATTTCAGCTCAATGCAAAAAAGCATCTCGTCTCGTCTGACGCAGTTTTACTCCATTTACTATAATGATAATTTTTATTGTGCAGTAAGTATTTTGTGAGCAATTAAAATATATTTTCAGTCAAATCTGCCTTTGATTCTTGTTTTGACTTTGAATGCTGATATTGCTGATATGCTATTCAGGGTCATAGGGGCTGCAAGAATCACTATTTTACCAGCGGTAATAATTATACATTCAGGCATCACACAAACAGTTCATTACACATGCTATCTATGTGCTGTAGCAGCAAACCTTTGACCTTCTTACTAATGGCTGCTTGTAATGTTGTCCATCTGAAGATGTTCTTGTTGTTCTCATTATAAGCCTCTGTGTGTGTGAGAGTGTGTGTGTGTGTATTCACCTCATATTCCTCCTTGAAACCGTAGCCCTGTCCACACTTCATCTGGGTGATATGCTGCAGGAGGTCTGCGACTCGAATAGCCGGCTGAAACTGACCCGCCTGGAACTGACCTGCAGGAACAGAAACATATTCTAGAGTAAGAGAAATAAAATGTTTTTATATAAACAGCGGGATGCAGTTAGTATGTGTATTTTGTTTTTATGTTGTTGAGTAAAATAGCTAACTTTTACTCAATCAGTAAATAAACAAAGTAGCGTCTTGAGCTTTATCCAAGAATAAGACAACGCAGTATATTGATGGGAATAGTTAAATAAGTAAATCTCACTGACTTTTTAAACTAACTTGCTAGCTATGTCCGATTGTTTTATCGTCAAACAAGCTTACAACAACTTGTATAAGGCATGTTACAAAATTACTAACCTCTATACACTATAACTCACCAATCAGCTAACTAAATAACCTGAGAAAACCTGACACACACAGTTAGCTACTTGTTTGATAATAAGTTTTAGCACCAAAACCTTTAGCATTATCAATGAAGTATAAGCATTATAACATTGGTCTAACTAACTAACTAACTAACTAACTAACTAACTAACTAACTAACTAACTAGCTAACCGACTAACTTACAAACTAATTACTAACCTACTAAGTACTAACTAACTAACACAGTGTCAAGGCTTTGTGCATGTACCGCTCTGGTAGGAGATCTCCACAGACTCACAGCCTCCGTAAGGAAAACTCTGAAGGGTCAGAGAGGGCTGGGCGAGCGACGCCTGGCTACTGTCTGTTAATAGAAAGAGAGAAAGAGTAAGTTACCATGACAACAGACATCCTAACTATAATAATCCCCCCACCCACACTCAGTACTGTGCACAGTATGGACACATCACAGGTGAGAAAAGTTGGGTGGTGGAAGAATAACTAATTAAGTTAAAGTAGAAAAAACAATGTCTTCAAATATTGTAGTAAAAGTTGGGAAAACGGCAACATGTACTTCATGTATCAAAAGTATAACCACTCAGTATGCAGAATGGCTCTTTTCACAGTACTGTATAATAAAACACTATTTGTTTTATTCGGTATGTATCACCTGTTTTATCTCAATTCTTTCTAAAATCTTAAATGTCTCCAAAATATAGTCTAGAAGAAAGAAATATTGGCTGCTTATGGTTAGATTAATGAGTCAATTAACACCCTAAACCTTGATTGGTGGGCATGACGATAGGAGGGCTAATTGGAATATCTCTCCTCCAATTAACAAACAGACAGATTGATTGGATGAGAGCATGGGTTTTATTAGTCAGCACAGATGGAGGAAGAAGGTTCAGTGGGACGGAGGGACTGATCAAGGATTGTCAAGAGCTGAAACAGAGGACCCAACGCGTTTTTGGTGGAGGAAACTTGATGCAGCAATACAAATGCTCCATTCACTCTCCGTTAGAGAAGGAAGAACAATGTACCATCGTGATTCATTTAATATAAGGTTTATTTGTTTCCACCACTTGTCTTCTCTTTTTCTCTCAGCTAATCCTGGGGAACTGAACTTATTGAAATACTTTGGGAAACCCTAAGCCTCATTTTAGTTTTCCATAAAGCCTGCGTCACACTTTCCCGAAATTGACACCAGATGGACACACGAAAAAGGAAATGTTCAAATTCGGCTCTAATCGTAACAGCATCGAGCCATTCGTGAGGGCATCTTAAGCCATCGTATGACCGCCGGTGGAGTTTCTCAGGCTCCGGCAGCAACTTCGAGAGCGGTGGCAAAATCTTTGGCATGCCAAAATATTGCCGAAAGACCTTGCGAAGGTTCATTTTTGTGTTGAATTTGTGTGTCTATTTTGCCCTTCGTAAGGCCAGCGTGAGGGCATCTTGTCAAATCGTGTCATCTTCGTCTTTACTTCGTGTGATCATCGGTGCCATCGGGCATTTTTCGCCTCACGAAGACAATACGAAGGAAACAAGAAGCTGCCCGATTGTCTTAGGAAGGCAACACGACTACGTGAAGCCCTCGCAATGCCGTTGTGTAGCCATCGTATTATAGTACGATGACATCGAGATGGGACCACGGTGTGCAATGTTTCCTTGTAGATCGCTTCTCTGGTTATTTTATTGCACAACAAAATCATGTAAACATATTATTAGAGTTTTACTCGCTACAGGGTGTACTTTGAGGGTTTGTGACTCTGCAGACCATTTACATGCATACAAAGCTACATAACACACAAGGGGACGGGTAATAACCGGAAAAGCATGACATGGGAGCTTTAAATGTAATTTAGGTTAACTTCCTGTTTTATTTAGATGCTTTTATTTTGAAGGCGAGTTTACGCTGTTGACAGGAAGTTGTTGTTGCTATGGAAACAACATGACGGAAAAAACGTAATATCATCTACATATAAAGACGGAGAAAGTAAAGAACAAAGTCTGAAAATATCAGTGACAATTTGTATTATATACAATCTCAAGTTTCCAAAATGTAAAGTCCCATAGGACTTTAACATAATTGTTTGTGTTACTTTCGTTGCAGTTGTATGTCTTAAATGTAATGTAAATGTTGCCTTCGTGTGTGGTTCGGGTGCCATCGTGTGGACTTCTGTAGGCATCGTACTTGCTTCGGCTGTTGCTTGGCCGTTGACCAAGTTCGGGGCCATCTTCGTGCGAAATTCACAATTCCATATTCGTGTGTCCATCTGGTGTCAATTTCGGGACAGTGTGACGCACGCATTATAAGAGAGTTGTTAAAGTTTTGTTGGTTTTAATAAATGTTCTTTTGTTCAGTGCTGTTGCAGTATGGCAGTTTACTCACTGAAGTGTGTATGTGTGTGTCTCAGAAGGAATAGGGTTTGTAATATAATACTGCAAGACTCTATGTTTTCTTAATGGAGCTATTTGCATGTTAATGATGGCTGTGGATTCATTAGTGCCGTTAAGTGGTTTCTCCATAAGCCAATCTAAACACTGGCTTCCCTAAACGGATGAAGAATGAGCCGACCACACAGGTCTGCTTCTACCACTGTGACAGTGTCCTGTTAGTGTTGAGAGACAGGACAAAGGGCTGAAAAACGAAATAGTATATTAAATTGTGTATTACGAGCTTAAGTCATGATGTGTGATAGGATTGATACAAGAGTAGAAGACAGAATGAATAATTGGAATGAGTGACTGAAAGGGGAGAGGAGGAAAGCGACCAGATGCCAAAAATAATGGGTAACCTAGGCTGAAGAGATTTTCGCGTTTTGTTCTACAACATAAAAAAAAAGTGACTAAACAAGACTACTAAATGTTATTACAAGAACATTAGCGGCCTTTAGCTTAGCAGTGGTGATACGCAGCCAAGCAATCCTAATTTAGTTATTTTATAGGCTAACATTAGATTTTTACTTATGGCAATTTCATTTATGCTTCAACTATTGTATACATGGTGTTAATATGTCGAGATGTTCCTGCTTAACAAAACTTGTAACTATAATGAAAATGAGTTTGCCAAATATCTTATTTCATGGTACATTCCAAAATCATTTTGTCCAGGGGGCCCTTGCGATGCTAACTTCCGGGTCGGCTTACAACAATACATCATCACTGCACTACACTATTAAGACATGGAAGAAGTAAGGAAATAAGGAAAAAAGGGCAGATGAGAGTGAAAGAAATGTGAGACAGGAGAGATATTTGGAGAGGAAAGGTGTAGGAAATACAGGAGTAAAGAGTTGAAGAGAAAAAGAGAGCCGAGAACAGGCAAGGACAAACTGTCTGCTCTCTGAAACACAACCAGGATGTACTTCACACTTCCCCTTCACACTGTCTCCACTATAGTTCAAGTAAGAATGAACTCCAGCCCTTCAATCCATCCCATTTATCTTTACAAACTCTTTCCATCCTTCCTTAGTACTCCTCAATCAACCCTTTCTCCTACCACTGGTTTTTCTTTTGATAAATACATTTTAACACAAAGCAGCACACATCCTTCATCTCTGAGACTCTGAATATTCCAGGCAGCTGGCTTCACGGTCGGAGGTGTGCGTTTTATAATCGGTTAAATGTGTTCATACAGTTCGTTTATCCATTGATGTGAGGTATATGGTATATGTGTGTATATGAGTGTGTGTAAGCACACTCCGGCACTTACACAAGAATGTGCTTTTGCATGCCTATCTTTCAGTATTAGAAAATGTGTGTGTCTGTGTGGGAGTGTGTGTGTGTGTGTGTGTTTGTGTGTGCGTCACCCCAAGGTCAAATATGCATTAAGCCAGGCATGAAATGGAGTCATAGCGGCAGCTCCACAACACTGACTATGATGAAGACATCTCAATGCTAATGGGGAGATTTATTGACCCCACATTCACAAGAGAGTGTGTGTGTGTGTGTGTGTGTGTGTGTGTGTGTGTGTGTGTGTGTGTGTGTGTGTGTGTGTGTGTGTGTTTGATATAGAGACATACGGAGAGCGTTGAGTGTGTGTTTGATAAGAGAGATGTGATTGATTTTAAGAGAGAAGAAAAACGTGTGTGTGTGTTGAACCTGTTTCCCATGTGTGTGTGAAGGCCGTTTCCACTGTCAGGGAGTGTGTATGTTAATGCAGTCCTTCATGCTTGGCAGTGTGCTACATAAAGTTCCCTCCTCCCACTCTGTGACTTTATTAAGACGCAGTTATGGATGGCTTGGCTCAGAGTATCACTATGTTAACTCCTAACTCCTTCGCCTCAGACGTCTGTACCTGTGTTTCTATATTTTGCTTTTATTTGTAAGTCTTCGACAGTTATATTTCTCTGGAAGCTTTGTTTACTTCTTTGCCTTACTTTGCGTGATTTATATAACTATAATGCTGCATCTGCTTGATTATGACAGCAGCTGCATTCAATTCTCTTTTATTTACTTGCAGATAGAGTGCGGTGCAGTCCTAAAACACGGACGTGAGTCAGCATTTTACCTCTGAAATAAGGTCTGTAGTTAACACAGGCTGAAGAGACTTTAACGTTTTGTTCTACGACAACAGTAAATACCCCCACTGGTGAATGTCTGACACTTTAATGTGTCATAGCAACAAGTGGCTAAAAGAGGCTGCTAAACATTATCACTTCAAATGTTAGCCGCCTTTAGCTTAGCATTGGCCACATGTAGTTTCTTTTATAGCCCATAGCTTTTTACTTGTGTCAATTGTATTTACGCTTCATTAAAGTGTTGTAAATATGTCGACATTACCCTGCTAAACAAAATGTGTGAAGTGTGTTTGCCACAGATCATCTTTTCTGTAATATTCTTGACTCCAATGGAAAAATCCCATTGCTTTTTGTCGAGGGAGCCCTTGCGATGCTTATTCCTGGGCTGCCTACAAAACGAAGTAATATCTGCATCACTCTATCGAGGATCATATTTTCTGTATTTTGCTATAGAAAGAATACATCATAATAAAGCTGTGGACCATCACTGTGTTCAAAATATACTTGCACATGATTGAAATGGAAAACTGGCAGCTTTCTCTGCAGTCATTGCATAATTCAATGTAATTCACCCATATCCTTTATACCCCCCAACTAGCAATTACTGTTAAGCCCAATCATAACAAAGAAAATGACTCCATTACAGAAGCAACTGTCCTTATAGAGGATTATCATTTCCATACCCTGTTCTTATGCATGCACCCACACACACTAATTATATCAGGAACAATCAAACAATAATTGAATCTGAAATGGAAATGATGTTAAACACTAAAGACTTCGACAAAATAACCGTTCATCATCTACACCCTTGGATACAATCAGTAATAATCCAATACTGTCTATT